AGTTAAGTTAGATAGCTGCAGTAAAAAATATATTGTTAGAAAAATCAATATTTACATAAATAACGATAAATCAGAACAATAATATTGGTAACTAAATATTAAATTTTTAWAAGAATTATGATACATTTCAAAAACTAAAAAGCATCCAAAAAATACATTATTTCCATTATTTAAAATCTTTTAAAATGCTAAAAAGTATAGATTTCTTTGACATTTCATTTAATCACAATATAAAACCCTGGACATTTAAAAGCAATATAATCAATAAGTTTTTGAATATTAATTTAAATTATGTGCATACAAAAAYAAGTAAGCACACAAAAATTAATTTGTTCTATTCTATTAAAAAATAAATTAATATTAATGATAATAACAAACTAGTAAAAATAATAATAAAAATAAAAATAAAATACTGCCATATTTAAAATTACACTTTTTTTAAAGTATACTTTCACATAGTAACACAGAAAATGATTATTAAGTACAAAATTGTTATTATTTTTGAGCAGTAAAAGATATGTCAAGTTTTACCAAATTATCACTWAATCAGTCATTGAGAATAATTGACCTCATAAAAAAATCACAAAATGTTATTACAGATGATATTGTTTTGTACTAAAATATGAATACCTTTTTAAATTGTATTAATGAATATAAAACACAAATGTCACCATTAGGCTTAAACAAAAACTAACACTTMGATTTTCAATAATACAAAAATATAATGAATTATGGGCAAGTACTTTATAAATCGCTATAATTAAAAAAAAATGCAAAAAAATTAAATCGCATGCAATAAAAAAAAAAAATGTAATAATAGTTTAGGTATTTTACATAATATGAAAATAATGTATTATAAAATAGTGTAAAAAAAATTTAGTTTTTAGTCTTACAAAAATATGTATTTTCAATTTAAGAACCAAATATTAAAATTATATTTGTTCAGTAATTGATTACTTAAGTTTTAAAATTATTTGGCACRACAAATGAGAACTGCTAAGATCTTTATCATTTTATCAGTCATATGAAAAAAAGGATAATAATAATCAGTTAAATAATTAATAGTCATAAGTTTGACAACTGGCTGCAGTTTCTAAAAAAGACCACAATCTTTGAGATTATTTTTGATGATCACATCAGTAACAGCATCAAAAACAAATTGTATATTGTTTGTGTCAGTGGCGCAAGTGAAATGAGTATAAATTTCTTTTTGATCTTTTCTTTTATTTAAACTTTCAAATTTCATTTGTATATAAGCAGCGGCTTCTTCATAATTATTAGAACCTGAGATAAAATTTCTAATTAGTAAATAGTAATTTATGGAATATTATTATATTATGAATGTTTAAAAACAAAATNAGTCATATGAAAAAAAGGATAATAATAATCAGTTAAATAATTAATAGTCATAAGTTTGACAACTGGCTGCAGTTTCTAAAAAAGACCACAATCTTTGAGATTATTTTTGATGATCACATCAGTAACAGCATCAAAAACAAATTGTATATTGTTTGTGTCAGTGGCGCAAGTGAAATGAGTATAAATTTCTTTTTGATCTTTTCTTTTATTTAAACTTTCAAATTTCATTTGTATATAAGCAGCGGCTTCTTCATAATTATTAGAACCTGAGATAAAATTTCTAATTAGTAAATAGTAATTTATGGAATATTATTATATTATGAATGTTTAAAAACAAAATATTTACCCATATATTCTGGAAAACATGAATTTAGAGGACTTCTTCTGATTTTTTCTTCAAATAAATCTTTTTTGTTCAAAAATAATATAATTGATGTGTCAACAAACCATTTGCTGTTACAAATTGAATCAAATAATTTCATAGACTCAATCATTCTATTCATTTCTTCATCTTCAGCTAATACTAAATCATAACCTGATAATAAAAACAGAATTTAGTAATAGGAAAGGATCAATACAAACGTGTAAAAATAAGTTCATATGTTATAATAACCTGATAGAGCCACACAAAATATTATAGCAGTAACACCTTCAAAACAATGAATCCACTTTTTTCTCTCTGATCTTTGACCTCCAACATCAAACATTCTAAAATATAAATATTTAAATATTAATTATATTAATTTAATTAAAATATTTGAATAAATAGAAGTAATTTGATATATTGGTGAGAAACTAATCCATTAAAAAAATTAAATTACACCTGCAATGTAATTATTCAAAAAAAAAAAAAAAATATGGGCTTTGTTATACCACTTACTTAAAATTTAATCCTTTAAATGAAAAATTTGTTTCAATGATACCAGTTGTTTTTACTCTTGTCCGCAACACATCCTGTTGTGTAGGTACATAATTAGGTAGTGATATTCTATCCAAAGCATTTAAATAATAAGCAGCAGAATCGTTTAGTTGATATTCTCTTGAGCGCAAAAAACATTCTTGCACACCAGAATCTGCCCATAGTCTTTTCATTAGTTTAACTAAGTCTGGAGTAAGTTCACCTTCTTCAGTAGCACTAGCTAAAGAAAAAAATTGACGGGCATTTTCCTAAAATAAGAAAAAAGATTTATAATTATTAATTAATATTAAAAGTATATGTTATTATAATTATAATAAGCTTTTTTGACATTAATTTACCGTTCTACTAGGATCTGAAAAATCAATTCTTAAAATTCCCATTGCTCGTATAATTGCCATTAAACTTTGGATTGTATTGCTGAATACCACAGGTCTATACTGTTCACATTCTTCTTTAGAATAACCTGTCTCATGGATAATTTTCATTTGTTTTACAATAGTACTTTTTCCAGATTCACCAGCACCTTTCATATAAACAAAAATGTATTAATATCACATTAACATTATWTTATTTTTTAATTTAGCCTTTCAGAAGACGTGCCACTATACAAGCAAGGAGAAGTGATTTATTGATTTTAATCATGCATGGGAAATAATAGGCTACATTTTGAACAATATATTAGATAGTAAGTAGAAATTTTTTTACCCAAATAAATAATAGAAATTATTAAAATTATAAATATTGTGTTAATTTGTTTAATCTTTTCTTAGTAAATTAACTAAAATTTACATCTAATTGAGGTTAATTAATTCCTAAAAATTAAATTCAAATGACTTAATAATGTCTGCAAACCTACAGATACAAAAAAAAAAATACTTGAAATTGCATGATAATTCCTGATATTCTGGAATGGT